TTTTTTTTTAAAGGTTAGCAAAATTAAGAAAACTTGAACTAGATTAACTTTATATAGAGAGATAACTAAAATCAGAAGTGAAAGAGGGAACCCTATAATTGATACCATGGTAGTAAAAAGATCCTGAGAATACCATAATAATCATACACTCCCAAATTGCACCTTCTAGAAGAAATAAATGTTTAGAAACACATAACCTACAAAGACTGAATCATGAAGAAATAGAAAATCTGAGATCAATAATGAGTAAGGACATTAAATCAAAAATTTCCCCAAAAAGTAAAGTCCAAGGCCAGGTGGCGTTACTGGTGAATTCTACAAAATGTTTAAAAAATTATCATTCTCAACGCCTCACCCTGCACTTAGGGAGCACCGAAACTCAAAGTGTTAATTGAGCCTCAAGTATTTTGCTAACCCTAAAAGAACATCCCCTTTTAGTAAATGGGTGGAGATTCTGCCCCAGAGAAATTCCTGTCTGGGAATTGGCTCAACCTCCATGAATCCAGGAGTGCCAGCCCAGCCATCCTGATCCCCTAGTGGTCCCCAGCCCTCCTCCAGTCCCTGTGGGAATGGCAGCTTCACACCTGACCAGGCGACCTCACATGTCCACTGGGATCAGAGCAACCTCGGGGCCAAGAAGAGCGCTGCTGCGTGTGTCCCTAAACTTTTCCTAATGCCTTTCCCTTATGACTCTCGGGTTCCAGCTAACTCCTCATAGTGCAGAGCCTGGTGCAGTAGCTTGATGTGTCACCCCCTGTCCCACTCCAGGTCTCCTAACTGAGTGGGGCAGTGCTGCGGTTGGGAGCTGGAATGTCCCTCAAGGGCTGGTGTGTTAAAGATTTGGTCCCTGGCCTGGTGCTACTGGGAGGAGGTAGAAACTTTGGGGAACGGGAAGCCTTTAGCTCAGTGGAGAAATGGCCTGCAAGGGGATTAGGGGACCCCAGTCCCGTCCTCTTGGTCTCTCTCACTCTCCGGCCATGAGTTGCATGGCTTTGCTTCACGGTGTGATCTTGCCAAGATGGGCCACCAAAAGGACAACCAATCATGGACTGAAGCCTCTAAAATTGTGAGCAGCCAAAATAAAGCTTTTCTCTTTGTAAGTTGATTTTCTCAGCTATTTGTAGTGATGAAGGTTGACTAAAACAAGGCACAAGGCCCAGGGTCCTGGGCTCCTGGACCAATACTAGCCCCAAGGACCTGGTGCATGGTGAATGCTTATTCTTTTTTTTTTTTTTTTTTTAATGTATACTAGACGGAGCATGCTTGTGTTTTTCCCAAGTCCTTCATGTCTGTCCTTAACATGTGAGTACTAGGGATTGAACTCAGGGGCACTCAACCACTGAGCCACACCCCCAGTCCTATATTATATTTTATTTAGAGACAGGGTCTCACTGAGCTGCTTAGCGCCTCGCTGTTGCTGAGGCTGGCTTTGAACTCCTGATCCTCTTGCCTCGGCCTCCTAAGCCACTGGAAGTACAGGTATGTGCCACCATGCCCAGCGAACAGCTATTCTTACGGGTAATGGAAGCACTGGAGACTTTCCTTTTTTTTCTGGTACTGGGGATTGAAACCAGGGATGAATAACCACTGAGCCACACCCCTAGTCCTTTTTATTATTTATT